TTTATTTATTTATTTATTTAATTGTGGCACTTTATATGAGTGACGTGGTTTTAATTAATTATTGACACATTTATTTATTTATTTATTTAATTGTGGCACTTTATATGAGTGACGTGGTTTTAATTAATTATTGACACATTTATTTATTTATTTATTTAATGCTGTATTTATTTATTTAATTTTGGCACTTTTTATCCTCCATACTTATGGGCCCACGGCCTCTTAGGGGCCCCATCACTGACACCTGGCTGGCTCCCTACGCAATTGTTGACTAAGAGGTCTCTTTGCAGATGTAATGGTGTGAAAAATTCACCTGATACAGAAGAGACTGACCGCATCAAACCTAGTTTGTACCGCAATACATGCCAGATTTCATCGTGATGGTGAGCCGTTTAAACACGACACCAATAGCAAAGCAGACAGCGGTACTTTTAATTACTATGTTAAAACCTGTGTTCACATAGTTCACTAGGCGGTTGGTAAAAAATACACTCATATAATATATTTCAAACCTGAATAAAGATCTTAGAAGAACAATGTATTTGAGTATTTCATTTTTTTACACTACGACTTGGAATTATGGGTAATCCAAAGTAAAGTTTGTTAGCGATAATGGATACCAAAAATAGGTACTTAAGCGGATTCCAGAAAAGAAAAAGGAAAGAAGAGCTGCTGTAAGAATGGAAAAAAACTTCCGAAATCAACACGTTCTGTCAAAGAACCGAAGAGGGAGAGGTGGATGTTGCTTCTACAGTGAGTAAAGATCGCGATCAGGAGATGAATGGAGAGAGGGTGGGTGAGGAGGGGGGCTATGAAGCTGAAGGTTGCCCCATGGCTTGTTGTGTTAATATACTCAAGTATATCCATGTCTAGTGAAGGTGAAGAATGATGAAGTGTGTATGTATGGAACACGTATCGGGTCGGTTTTCTATGGGGGGGGCGGGTTTGATAATGAGTTTTTGTCACCAATGGTTCCATTCAAGGTGCGCAGTCACTATTTTTCCGTGTGTGATGTGTAATCATATACTACTAAGTAGGGATGCACGATATAATCGGCCCCCTATCGGTATCGGACTTAAAACTGAATATCGGACATCGGCCACCGATATTTAACCCGATATTTGATCAGCTTCTGAGTTTCTAAAGTCTAAAAAAAAAAATACTACTTCTTCTTCTTCCTCAAAAACTTCTTTTTTAAAGACTTAAAAACAATTTATACATTAAAATATCACAATATCTTCATATGCTGATATA